CGCTAAGAAATGTCAATCTTGTCAATTCCATGCCAACTTCATTCACCAGCCACCTGAACCGTTGTATCCTACAGTCGCATCATGACCTTTTGATGCATGGGGACCTGATGTCTTAGGACCTTTGACTCCAAAATCGTCAGCATGACATCTTTACATCTTAGCAGCAACCGATTATTTCTCCAAGTGGGCGGAAGTGGTTCCTTTTAAAGAAGTGAAAAAAGAGAATGTTGTCGACTTTATTCAAATAAATATTATATGTCAGTATGGTGTACCTCATTACATTATCACTGATAATGAAAAATCATTTGTTAATAGCCTCATGACCAAGCTCTACATCAAATTTGAGTTTATACAACATAATTCATCCATGTACAATGCACTAGCCAATGGACTCGCAGAAGCCTTCAATAAGACCTTGTGCAACTTATTGAAGAAGGTTGTCTCCAAATAAAAGAAGGATTGGCATGAAAAAGTTGGTGAAGCTCTCTGGGCATATCGAACAACATGCTGNTATATATATATATATATATATATATGAGATCATAAAATTTTTTCAACCCAGTCGATCAAGGCTAGTGAAGCAAATTCCTTCTCTAACATGGATCGCATCTTGTCTATATCCTGTATCTCCTCAACGCTACGAATGTGAGAGTCCTGGAGTTCGACACGTTCTTTCTCCATCACCACAATAGTCTCTTCAGTCTTCAGTGTTCTGTCGTTCATCACGAATGAAGTTAATGCTAGATGTTATCTCGGGCCTCTGATCTTGCAGTCGCCAGATTTTTTCATCAAGACTCAATAGCTCTGTTTCAGAATTAAATAGTTCTTCGCTCAAGCCAAGAAATTTGAATTGTCCTCCTAATATCGTGCTATCAATTGTCACTAACCTTCTATCTCTTTCTCCATAGGTTAAAACTTTGACGTTTTCTTGGTGTTTTGAAAGGTACTCATCTACCTTCATAAGAAGACAATCCATTTTTCTCACCAAAGGATCTGTGTCAACATAGAAAAGCTTTTTAAGAGTATCTTCAATACTTGAAGACTTGGAGGTTCACTAGTTCTTCAATCCAGAGAAGCCATTTTTTATGGCATAATCAAATTCAACCTTCAAATATGGAGGCATCCCGGTCAGAATTATTTTCTTTGCCAATTTTTTAGATGTAACTGCTTCAACAGGAGGACTTGACACAAATAAAGATATGCGATTAGTTTCATACTAATCGAAAGGGCAACTAGATCAGGCTAATGAAATATATCTGAGACAGATGAAAACATTGGCATTAGTCTTGGAGATCGCGCTTCACCAGGTCCATAAGGCTCAGGAAGATTATTCATAACAGAATTATTAATATTTTCTTGCCTTGCTTGTATAGCACTNATTACCTTGACAGAGTCTTGCTCTAATAATGTGGCGGAGTACCAAGATTTGATCATTGGCTTAGAAATGACACTTGATATGCAGCTCTCTCAGTTCAAAATCTATGAAGACTCACAAATAGTGGTTCATCAAGTTTTGGAATTGTACGATGTTCGCAAGCCAGATTTGATTTCATACTGTTGCTATGCAACTCAACTTATAAGTCAGTTTGATTGAGTTACTATTGAAAACGTACCACACAGTGAAAAAAAATATGTTGATGCTCTTGCCAGTCTTGTCGTTGTGCTTACAAAACCCTATTACCAAATAATTTCAGTTCCCATTTTTTAAAGATGGGTAATACCTCCGCTACTCCCTGAAATGGAAAAAGTTACTACCATTTCAGTAGTGCAACTTAAAAATGAAGACTAGAGGCAACCTTTGATTGACTATTTGTAGTATGAAAAATTACCAGATGACCCACATCATAGAACTGAGATACGATGGAGAGCTCCTCGATTTATTTATTATAAAGACATTCTTTGTCGTCATTCATTTGATAGTGTTTTCCTGCGATGTTTGGATGAAGATGAAGCTGCTCAACCACTCGAGGAAACTCATTATGGAATCTGTGGAGCTCATCAATCAGGGCCTAAATTACATTTTCGCATAAAGAGAATGTGATATTACTGGCCCACTATGGTAGAAGACTCGATGAGTTACGCTAAGAAATGTCAATCTTGTCAATTCCATGCCAACTTCATTCACCAGCCACCTGAACCGTTGTATCCTACAGTCACATCATGACCTTTTGATGCATGGGGACCTGATGTCTTAGGACCTTTGACTCCAAAATCGTCAGCAGGACATCTTTACATCTTAGCAGCAACCGATTATTTCTCCAAGTGGGCGGAAGTGGTTCCTCTTAAAGAAGTGAAAAAAGAAAATGTTGTCGACTTTATTCAAATAAATATTATATGTCAGTATGGTGTACCTCATTACATTATCACTGATAATGAAAAATCATTTGTTAATAGCCTCATGACCAAGCTCTACATCAAATTTGAGTTTATACAACATAATTCATCCATGTACAATGCACTAGCCAATGGACTCGCAGAAGCCTTCAATAAGACCTTGTGCAACTTATTGAAGAAGGTTGTCTCCAAATAAAAGAAGGATTGGCATGAAAAAGTTGGTGAAGCTCTCTGGGCATATCGAACAACATGCTGAACTCCAACACAAGCTACTCCATATTCCCTTGTGTATGGCGTTGAAGTTGTTTTTTCTTTGGAGAGTCAAATTCCCTTCCTGCGGATCGCCTTACAATTAGAACTCACAAATCAGAAAAATGTTCTGTTACGTTTAGATAAGCTTGAAGCACTTGACGAGAAAAGACTTACAACAAAACTTGGAATGTTATCAAGCCAAACTTTCCAAAACCTTCAATAAGAAGGTTCGTGTCCGATCATTCCAAATAGGAGATTTGGTCCTTGCAATTCGAAGACCCATTGTCATTTCGCATCTCACTGGTGGAAAATTCATGCCAAAATGGGATGGTCCATATGTGGTGAAAGAAGTCTACACCAACGGCGCATACAAGATTATTGACAAAGATGGCTTGAGGGTTGGCCCAATCAATGAGAAATTTTTAAAACGCTTCTATGCCTAGAAGTAAGCAATGCTCTTTTACACACGAGCCTAAACTGCATGTTACTCCTATCCTGCATGAGTTAAAACTGTGCACAGTGCTAACCTATAAAAAAAACAAAAAAACCTTATTGCTCCTGGGCCGCATGAGTTAAAACTATGTACGGTTTGACCAAAAATAAAGGTTCATATGCCCCTTTACGCACGAGCCTAAACTACATGTTACTATCGGCTCGGAAGAGTTAAAACTACGTACGGTTTAAAAAATATATATTTTTACTTAACCCAAAAAAAAAAAAACCTTTTTTTACTCTTGGCCCACATGAGTTAAAACTGTGTATGGCTTAACCAAAAAAAAATATTTTTAATCCTGGCCCGCATGACTTAAAATTGTGTATGGCTCAACCAAAAATAAAAAAATTTTTTTCTCCTGACATGCATAAGCTAAAACTGTGTACAACTCAACAAAAAAAAAATTCCTTCGAAATTATGATATCTAGGTTATTTGAGAATCAATTTATTTTAGTACAATAAATAATAGCATAAAAAAAAATTTCAAATCTAAACATCCATATTTGCTATATATATATATATATATATATATATATGAGATCATAAAATTTTTTCAACCCAGTCGATCAAGGCTAGTGAAGCAAATTCCTTCTCTAACATGGATCGCATCTTGTCTATATCCTGTATCTCCTCAACGCTACGAATGTGAGAGTCCTGGAGTTCGACACGTTCTTTCTCCATCACCACAATAGTCTCTTCAGTCTTCAGTGTTCTGTCGTTCATCACGAATGAAGTTAATGCTAGATGTTATCTCGGGCCTCTGATCTTGCAGTCGCCAGATTTTTTCATCAAGACTCAATAGCTCTGTTTCAGAATTAAATAGTTCTTCGCTCAAGCCAAGAAATTTGAATTGTCCTCCTAATATCGTGCTATCAATTGTCACTAACCTTCTATCTCTTTCTCCATAGGTTAAAACTTTGACGCTTTCTTGGTGTTTTGAAAGGTACTCATCTACCTTCATAAGAAGACAATCCATTTTTCTCACCAAAGGATCTGTGTCAACATAGAAAAGCTTTTTAAGAGTATCTTCAATACTTGAAGACTTGGAGGTTCACTAGTTCTTCAATCCAGAGAAGCCATTTTTTATGGCATAATCAAATTCAACCTTCAAATATGGAGGCATCCCGGTCAGAATTATTTTCTTTGCCAATTTTTTAGATGTAACTGCTTCAACAGGAGGACTTGACACAAATAAAGATATGCGATTAGTTTCATACTAATCGAAAGGGCAACTAGATCAGGCTAATGAAATATATCTGAGACAGATGAAAACATTGGCATTAGTCTTGGAGATCGCGCTTCACCAGGTCCATAAGGCTCAGGAAGATTATTCATAACAGAATTATTAATATTTTCTTGCCTTGCTTGTATAGCACTTGAAGGGTTTGTTTTAGAATTAACTTCCCCTTCACATGGATTGGTATGTTCTCCATCAACCAAAGGAAGAATCTCACCACTGCCAGAAAGAATAGACATGGTCCGATCGTTGTCATCAAATAAAGCTCCAATGATATCATTGTCAAGATTTTGGTCTCCACAAATACCTGGGATGGAATTTAATGTGGCAAGATCTGGAAGTGGAGGAAAAGCTTTAAAAAAAAAAAGGTAAGAGGTTTGAAATATAAATATATAATAATGATAATAGTAATGAAATTTTGTAAGTACTTTTATTGCGGGATCGCGGGGATAATTCTAAAAAAATTGATAAGTCATTCAGAGCATTACAAGATGGGTTAACCCTGCCTGTAGGAGACTTTGTAGTGGTATGATTTGCACCATATTCTGATCGGGCACAAGCCAAATTATGCTCAACTTCTGTAGCTCTTGTTTGGCACCTCTCTTGAGATGTCTGCTTAGTAGAACCAGGATTATCAACTGGTACAATTGTGCTCAGAATCCTTTCACGATTCGAGCCTATATCCTATTTCTTGAAAATACCCTTGGATATGCAAGATGAAAGGAGTGCATGATCAGATTCGCTTGACAAACTCACTTCATCAGACTCTGGGATGTTTAAAGGATAAACAGATCGAACACTAGTTGATCTTGAAACAGGTGTTGTGACCTTTAACATCTTTGGAACTGGTTGTCCTCGGGGATTCAAATAATCCTTTGAAGTACCCCGTTTTCGAAGATGTGAAGGAGCTTTAGCTACTGTAGGAAGGGATTTCCCCTTCCCTAACCCATCAGCTTGAGCTTTGAATTGAAATTCTCAGATTTACTAGCTAACAAGGTTTTACAATTGATGCCATCTAGGTGTGGGAGTACATCATCTTTCCACCAGTTGTTATAACTACTGTCACATTGATTCTCAATACAAGCGCAATTATTAAGGACATGGAATCCTAACCCATTATTTATCCTGGTTAAACTCAACCACACCCGATATAAAAAAGAGGCATCAAACAAAGTTATTGATGGATGTGAGGGAGTACTCGACAATCTTTGATGAAATCCATGCTGCCTAGCAAAGCGATGTGGGTTATATATCTCAAGAATGCAAACTGGCCCACAACAATACATGACGTGTCCACCTCACATACTTGACATTAATTCAGAGGTTTCATCTGATCTTTGTCTATCATCACGACAAGGCCCTCGGCTTCTAGAATACGGAATTGGTTGCCAGCAAAAATCACTGAAACTCATACTTCCACGCAGAAGATCTCAAAATCCTTCCTCATAAAAAAAAATAAGCATTCAGTGTACCTTTGAATTGTCGAAGCAAAGGACGATCAAGATCCTCACCAACCTCAACATAAACTCCCTGAGGGAAATGCAACGTTGCCTAAGCATAAAAGTAATGATCTGGAAGAATGAAGGTCAAGATCTAGAAGAATGAAGAGATCATCACCATTGACCTTTGCCTTCATAGGTTGTATTTCTGCTTGAATAGGTCGCACCAATTGTCGCTTTTCAACAAATTCTTCATCCCTTTTAAAGAAATTTGTCATGGCTACTTTACATGTCTTGCTCTTCTTAGGATCCAAAGCATGTGCACCATCTTTGAACCAAAAATCAAGCCAATTTGAATGACGGGGATGATTATCCCCTTTCTTCTTATTAATTAAGACAAAAGCCTTAAACAAATGCAGGCAATTCACAGGGAGAGCGCCAGTACCAGAGTCTCTCAACTTAGTGAGGCTTGGGATAACTTCTTCAAAATATTTGCCATGGATTGGAAGATTGGTGATGTGTCGCATTTCCCAAAGTGAGATTCCAATTTCTCCCACGCCCGTAACAAACGTATTCGTCTGCGGACACCAAACTTCACAAAGGGCGCGATATACACAGTTGGGTCGAGAGTAGTCAAAAGAAGCTGCATGCACAACATAAGCAAGGTCGTTGAAACCTTTATCTAACAGCTTACGGTAAATTCGTTGAGACTACTCTCAAAACCTATTCAGATATTGAATATCTCCACTTGGGTTTAGTGAACATTCCCACCTCGCAATCCTCTGGTTGATCAGATCAGCAACAAGTGGCTTTGGGATAAGATGATCTTTGGAATGATACGAAGGCGCAAAAAGTGAGGGTAGTCGATCTGACTTAACCGTGCCACTTTTGTGCATGTTCTCTGGTAGAGGATATTCACTAATCATCGACATATGAAGTTCACGTTCATAGATTATTCTCAAATGATTGCAGGGTCTAGTCACGGGCTCAAGAAATTTGAGTGATAATGTTGACAACTCATTGGTTCTATAGTTCTTTACCACAATAGTTGGAAAACACAAAACTTTGTCTTTTAGAGTTGGATCCTCTGATTCTACAATCCACTCATCGGAAGGTAAGTTCTTTCTTTGACTTAAAATTTTGATAATTTTTCCCGATTTGGCTTTTTGAGATGAGGCCATCTGAATAATAATAATAATAATAATAAGGAAAAAAAAAGAAGAAGACAAAAAAAGAAAAAAAGAAAAAAAGGGCAAGTAATAATTTGGAAAAAAAATATATTAATAAAATAAACCTCGATGCTATAAATAAAGTGGGAATAAAATAATAATAATAGTAGCAATACAAGAATACTAGCAATACAAGAATAGATAAGTCACCTAGGATTGTTACAGAAGTCACCTAGGGCTATTACAGAAGTCACCTAAGGCTGTTACAGAAGTTACATTGGACTTTTACAGAAGTTACCTAGGACTGTTACAAAAGTCACCTAAGGTTGTTATAAAAGTCACTTAGGGCTGTTACAAAAGTCACCAAAGGGCTGTTACATAAATCACCTAGAGTTGTCACAACAGTCACCTATAGTTGTTGCAGAAGTCACCTTGAGCTGTTACAAAAGTCACCAAAGGACTATTACAGAAGTCACATTGGACTGTTACAAAAGTCACCTAAGGCTGTTATAGAAGTCACCTTGAGCTATTATAGAAGTCACCAAATGACTATTATAGAAGTCACATTAGACTGTTATAAAAGTCACTGAAGGTTGTTATAGAAGTTACCAAAGGGCTGTTATAGAAGCCACCTTAGGGCTGTTATAGAAGTCACTTGGAGTCATTACGGAAGTTATTTAGGGATGCTACAAAAGTCGCCTAAGACTGCCAGAGAAGTCATTTAAGTTGACACAAAAATCACTTAAGGTGGTCAATAATAATAATCATAAATAAAATAAAACTCTTGTAATCAAAGCCACCTATAATTGACACAAAAGTTGTAAACTCTCATTTAAAATAAAATTCTTTAGAAAAACCAATTAAAATTAAAATTAATACTCTTGGAATAAAATTAACCCAAAAAAAAAAATCCCATGGAACAAGATTTATTTATTTCTTGAAGAAAAAAAAAGGTCAAGTTTGTTAAAAAAAAATCACCTAAAATCAAGTCAGTAAGATAAAATTCTAAAGTCAAAAGGTTACCTANCATGGAATCCTACCCCATTATTTATCCTGGTTAAACTCAACCACACCCGATATAAAAAAGAGGCATCAAACAAAGTTATTGATGGATGTGAGGGAGTACTCGACAATCTTTGATGAAATCCATGCTGCCTAGCAAAGCGATGTGGGTTATATATCTCAAGAATGCAAACTGGCCCACAACAATACATGACGTGTCCACCTCACATACTTGACATTAATTCAGAGGTTTCATCTGATCTTTGTCTATCATCACGACAAGGCCCTCGGCTTCTAGAATACGGAATTGGTTGCCAGCAAAAATCACTGAAACTCATACTTCCACGCAGAAGATCTCAAAATCCTTCCTCATAAAAAAAAATAAGCATTCAGTGTACCTTTGAATTGTCGAAGCAAAGGACGATCAAGATCCTCACCAACCTCAACATAAACTCCCTGAGGGAAATGCAACGTTGCCTAAGCATAAAAGTAATGATCTGGAAGAATGAAGGTCAAGATCTAGAAGAATGAAGAGATCATCACCATTGACCTTTGCCTTCATAGGTTGTATTTCTGCTTGAATAGGTCGCACCAATTGTCGCTTTTCAACAAATTCTTCATCCCTTTTAAAGAAATTTGTCATGGCTACTTTACATGTCTTGCTCTTCTTAGGATCCAAAGCATGTGCACCATCTTTGAACCAAAAATCAAGCCAATTTGAATGACGGGGATGATTATCCCCTTTCTTCTTATTAATTAAGACAAAAGCCTTAAACAAATGCAGGCAATTCACAGGGAGAGCGCCAGTACCAGAGTCTCTCAACTTAGTGAGGCTTGGGATAACTTCTTCAAAATATTTGCCATGGATTGGAAGATTGGTGATGTGTCGCATTTCCCAAAGTGAGATTCCAATTTCTCCCACGCCCGTAACAAACGTATTCGTCTGCGGACACCAAACTTCACAAAGGGCGCGATATACACAGTTGGGTCGAGAGTAGTCAAAAGAAGCTGCATGCACAACATAAGCAAGGTCGTTGAAACCTTTATCTAACAGCTTACGGTAAATTCGTTGAGACTACTCTCAAAACCTATTCAGATATTGAATATCTCCACTTGGGTTTAGTGAACATTCCCACCTCGCAATCCTCTGGTTGATCAGATCAGCAACAAGTGGCTTTGGGATAAGATGATCTTTGGAATGATACGAAGGCGCAAAAAGTGAGGGTAGTCGATCTGACTTAACCGTGCCACTTTTGTGCATGTTCTCTGGTAGAGGATATTCACTAATCATCGACATATGAAGTTCACGTTCATAGATTATTCTCAAATGATTGCAGGGTCTAGTCACGGGCTCAAGAAATTTGAGTGATAATGTTGACAACTCATTGGTTCTATAGTTCTTTACCACAATAGTTGGAAAACACAAAACTTTGTCTTTTAGAGTTGGATCCTCTGATTCTACAATCCACTCATCGGAAGGTAAGTTCTTTCTTTGACTTAAAATTTTGATAATTTTTCCCGATTTGGCTTTTTGAGATGAGGCCATCTGAATAATAATAATAATAATAATAAGGAAAAAAAAAGAAGAAGACAAAAAAAGAAAAAAAGAAAAAAAGGGCAAGTAATAATTTGGAAAAAAAATATATTAATAAAATAAACCTCGATGCTATAAATAAAGTGGGAATAAAATAATAATAATAGTAGCAATACAAGAATACTAGCAATACAAGAATAGATAAGTCACCTAGGATTGTTACAGAAGTCACCTAGGGCTATTACAGAAGTCACCTAAGGCTGTTACAGAAGTTACATTGGACTTTTACAGAAGTTACCTAGGACTGTTACAAAAGTCACCTAAGGTTGTTATAAAAGTCACTTAGGGCTGTTACAAAAGTCACCAAAGGGCTGTTACATAAATCACCTAGAGTTGTCACAACAGTCACCTATAGTTGTTGCAGAAGTCACCTTGAGCTGTTACAAAAGTCACCAAAGGACTATTACAGAAGTCACATTGGACTGTTACAAAAGTCACCTAAGACTGTTATAGAAGTCACCTTGAGCTATTATAGAAGTCACCAAATGACTATTATAGAAGTCACATTAGACTGTTATAAAAGTCACTGAAGGTTGTTATAGAAGTTACCAAAGGGCTGTTATAGAAGCCACCTTAGGGCTGTTATAGAAGTCACTTGGAGTCATTACGGAAGTTATTTAGGGATGCTACAAAAGTCGCCTAAGACTGCCAGAGAAGTCATTTAAGTTGACACAAAAATCACTTAAGGTGGTCAATAATAATAATCATAAATAAAATAAAACTCTTGTAATCAAAGCCACCTATAATTGACACAAAAGTTGTAAACTCTCATTTAAAATAAAATTCTTTAGAAAAACCAATTAAAATTAAAATTAATACTCTTGGAATAAAATTAACCCAAAAAAAAAAATCCCATGGAACAAGATTTATTTATTTCTTGAAGAAAAAAAAATGTCAAGTTTGTTAAAAAAAAATCACCTAAAATCAAGTCAGTAAGATAAAATTCTAAAGTCAAAAGGTTACCTAGCATAAATTTTTGGGATGAAGATGTTCAAGACTAACATTTTTGAAGAAAAAAAAAATTATTATCCTAACAAGTTATCAAGAAATCATAAAAACACACACACAAGTTATGTTTTATTCAAAAAAAAAAAAATTNACAACAGTCACCTATAGTTGTTGCAGAAGTCACCTTGAGCTGTTACAAAAGTCACCATAGGACTATTACAGAAGTCACATTGGACTGTTACAAAAGTCACCTAAGANTTGTATAGCACTTGAAGGGTTTGTTTTAGAATTAACTTCCCCTTCACATGGATTGGTATGTTCTCCATCAACCAAAGGAAGAATCTCACCACTGCCAGAAAGAATAGACATGGTCCGATCGTTGTCATCAAATAAAGCTCCAATGATATCATTGTCAAGATTTTGGTCTCCACAAATACCTGGGATGGAATTTAATGTGGCAAGATCTGGAAGTGGAGGAAAAGCTTTAAAAAAAAAAAGGTAAGAGGTTTGAAATATAAATATATAATAATGATAATAGTAATGAAATTTTGTAAGTACTTTTATTGCGGGATCGCGGGGATAATTCTAAAAAAATTGATAAGTCATTCAGAGCATTACAAGATGGGTTAACCCTGCCTGTAGGAGACTTTGTAGTGGTATGATTTGCACCATATTCTGATCGGGCACAAGCCAAATTATGCTCAACTTCTGTAGCTCTTGTTTGGCACCTCTCTTGAGATGTCTGCTTAGTAGAACCAGGATTATCAACTGGTACAATTGTGCTCAGAATCCTTTCACGATTCGAGCCTATATCCTATTTCTTGAAAATACCCTTGGATATGCAAGATGAAAGGAGTGCATGATCAGATTCGCTTGACAAACTCACTTCATCAGACTCTGGGATGTTTAAAGGATAAACAGATCGAACACTAGTTGATCTTGAAACAGGTGTTGTGACCTTTAACATCTTTGGAACTGGTTGTCCTCGGGGATTCAAATAATCCTTTGAAGTACCCCGTTTTCGAAGATGTGAAGGAGCTTTAGCTACTGTAGGAAGGGATTTCCCCTTCCCTAACCCATCAGCTTGAGCTTTGAATTGAAATTCTCAGATTTACTAGCTAACAAGGTTTTACAATTGATGCCATCTAGGTGTGGGAGTACATCATCTTTCCACCAGTTGTTATAACTACTGTCACATTGATTCTCAATACAAGCGCAATTATTAAGGACATGGAATCCTAACCCATTATTTATCCTGGTTAAACTCAACCACACCCGATATAAAAAAGAGGCATCAAACAAAGTTATTGATGGATGTGAGGGAGTACTCGACAATCTTTGATGAAATCCATGCTGCCTAGCAAAGCGATGTGGGTTATATATCTCAAGAATGNACTTTTTTTACTCTTGGCCCACATGAGTTAAAACTGTGTATGGCTTAACCAAAAAAAAATATTTTTAATCCTGGCCCGCATGACTTAAAATTGTGTATGGCTCAACCAAAAATAAAAAAATTTTTTTCTCCTGACANCATGCTGCCTAGCAAAGCGATGTGGGTTATATATCTCAAGAATGCAAACTGGCCCACGACAATACATGACGTGTCCACCTCACATACTTGACATTAATTCAGAGGTTTCATCTGATCTTTGTCCATCATCACGACAAGGCCCTCGGCTTCTAGAATACGGAATTGGTTGCCAGCAAAAATCACTGAAACTCATACTTNATGCATAAGCTAAAACTGTGTACAACTCAACAAAAAAAAAATTCCTTCGAAATTATGATATCTAGGTTATTTGAGAATCAATTTATTTTAGTACAATAAATAATAGCATAAAAANGTCCGATCATTCCAAATAGGAGATTTGGTCCTTGCAATTCGAAGACCCATTGTCATTTCGCATCTCACTGGTGGAAAATTCATGCCAAAATGGGATGGTCCATATGTGGTGAAAGAAGTCTACACCAACGGCGCATACAAGATTATTGACAAAGATGGCTTGAGGGTTGGCCCAATCAATGAGAAATTTTTAAAACGCTTCTATGCCTAGAAGTAAGCAATGCTCTTTTACACACGAGCCTAAACTGCATGTTACTCCTATCCTGCATGAGTTAAAACTGTGCACAGTGCTAACCTATAAAAAAAACAAAAAAACCTTATTGCTCCTGGGCCGCATGAGTTAAAACTATGTACGGTTTGACCAAAAATAAAGGTTCATATGCCCCTTTACGCACGAGCCTAAACTACATGTTACTATCGGCTCGGAAGAGTTAAAACTACGTACGGTTTAAAAAATATATATTTTTACTTAACCCAAAAAAAAAAAAACCTTTTTTTACTCTTGGCCCACATGAGTTAAAACTGTGTATGGCTTAACCAAAAAAAAATATTTTTAATCCTGGCCCGCATGACTTAAAATTGTGTATGGCTCAACCAAAAATAAAAAATTTTTTTTCTCCTGACATGCATAAGCTAAAACTGTGTACAACTCAACAAAAAAAAAATTCCTTCGAAATTATGATATCTAGGTTATTTGAGAATCAATTTATTTTAGTACAATAAATAATAGCATAAAAAAAAATTTCAAATCTAAACATCCATATTTGCTATATATATATATATATATATATATATATGAGATCATAAAATTTTTTCAACCCAGTCGATCAAGGCTAGTGAAGCAAATTCCTTCTCTAACATGGATCGCATCTTGTCTATATCCTGTATCTCCTCAACGCTACGAATGTGAGAGTCCTGGAGTTCGACACGTTCTTTCTCCATCACCACAATAGTCTCTTCAGTCTTCAGTGTTCTGTCGTTCATCACGAATGAAGTTAATGCTAGATGTTATCTCGGCCCTCTGATCTTGCAGTCGCCAGATTTTTTCATCAAGACTCAATAGCTCTGTTTCAGAATTAAATAGTTCTTCGCTCAAGCCAAGAAATTTGAATTGTCCTCCTAATATCGTGCTATCAATTGTCACTAACCTTCTATCTCTTTCTCCATAGGTTAAAACTTTGACGCTTTCTTGGTGTTTTGAAAGGTACTCATCTACCTTCATAAGAAGACAATCCATTTTTCTCACCAAAGGATCTGTGTCAACATAGAAAAGCTTTTTAAGAGTATCTTCAATACTTGAAGACTTGGAGGTTCACTAGTTCTTCAATCCAGAGAAGCCATTTTTTATGGCATAATCAAATTCAACCTTCAAATATGGAGGCATCCCGGTCAGAATTATTTTCTTTGCCAATTTTTTAGATGTAACTGCTTCAACAGGAGGACTTGACACAAATAAAGATATGCGATTAGTTTCATACTAATCGAAAGGGCAACTAGATCAGGCTAATGAAATATATCTGAGACAGATGAAAACATTGGCATTAGTCTTGGAGATCGCGCTTCACCAGGTCCATAAGGCTCAGGAAGATTATTCATAACAGAATTATTAATATTTTCTTGCCTTGCTTGTATAGCACTTGAAGGGTTTGTTTTAGAATTAACTTCCCCTTCACATGGATTGGTATGTTCTCCATCAACCAAAGGAAGAATCTCACCACTGCCAGAAAGAATAGACATGGTCCGATCGTTGTCATCAAATAAAGCTCCAATGATATCATTGTCAAGATTTTGGTCTCCACAAATACCTGGGATGGAATTTAATGTGGCAAGATCTGGAAGTGGAGGAAAAGCTTTAAAAAAAAAAAGGTAAGAGGTTTGAAATATAAATATATAATAATGATAATAGTAATGAAATTTTGTAAGTACTTTTATTGCGGGATCGCGGGGATAATTCTAAAAAAATTGATAAGTCATTCAGAGCATTACAAGATGGGTTAACCCTGCCTGTAGGAGACTTTGTAGTGGTATGATTTGCACCATATTCTGATCGGGCACAAGCCAAATTATGCTCAACTTCTGTAGCTCTTGTTTGGCACCTCTCTTGAGATGTCTGCTTAGTAGAACCAGGATTATCAACTGGTACAATTGTGCTCAGAATCCTTTCACGATTCGAGCCTATATCCTATTTCTTGAAAATACCCTTGGATATGCAAGATGAAAGGAGTGCATGATCAGATTCGCTTGACAAACTCACTTCATCAGACTCTGGGATGTTTAAAGGATAAACAGATCGAACACTAGTTGATCTTGAAACAGGTGTTGTGACCTTTAACATCTTTGGAACTGGTTGTCCTCGGGGATTCAAATAATCCTTTGAAGTACCCCGTTTTCGAAGATGTGAAGGAGCTTTAGCTACTGTAGGAAGGGATTTCCCCTTCCCTAACCCATCAGCTTGAGCTTTGAATTGAAATTCTCAGATTTACTAGCTAACAAGGTTTTACAATTGATGCCATCTAGGTGTGGGAGTACATCATCTTTCCACCAGTTGTTATAACTACTGTCACATTGATTCTCAATACAAGCGCAATTATTAAGGACATGGAATCCTAACCCATTATTTATCCTGGTTAAACTCAACCACACCCGATATAAAAAAGAGGCATCAAACAAAGTTATTGATGGATGTGAGGGAGTACTCGACAATCTTTGATGAAATCCATGCTGCCTAGCAAAGCGATGTGGGTTATATATCTCAAGAATGCAAACTGGCCCACGACAATACATGACGTGTCCACCTCACATACTTGACATTAATTCAGAGGTTTCATCTGATCTTTGTCTATCATCACGACAAGGCCCTCGGCTTCTAGAATACGGAATTGGTTGCCAGCAAAAATCACTGAAACTCATACTTCCACGCAGAAGATCTCAAAATCCTTCCTCATAAAAAAAAATAAGCATTCAGTGTACCTTTGAATTGTCGAAGCAAAGGACGATCAAGATCCTCACCAACCTCAACATAAACTCCCTGAGGGAAATGCAACGTTGCCTAAGCATAAAAGTAATGATCTGGAAGAATGAAGGTCAAGATCTAGAAGAATGAAGAGATCATCACCATTGACCTTTGCCTTCATAGGTTGTATTTCTGCTTGAATAGGTCGCACCAATTGTCGCTTTTCAACAAATTCTTCATCCCTTTTAAAGAAATTTGTCATGGCTACTTTACATGTCTTGCTCTTCTTAGGATCCAAAGCATGTGCACCATCTTTGAACCAAAAATCAAGCCAATTTGAATGACGGGGATGATTATCCCCTTTCTTCTTATTAATTAAGACAAAAGCCTTAAACAAATGCAGGCAATTCACAGGGAGAGCGCCAGTACCAGAGTCTCTCAACTTAGTGAGGCTTGGGATAACTTCTTCAAAATATTTGCCATGGATTGGAAGATTGGTGATGTGTCGCATTTCCCAAAGTGAGATTCCAATTTCTCCCACGCCCGTAACAAACGTATTCGTCTGCGGACACCAAACTTCACAAAGGGCGCGATATACACAGTTGGGTCGAGAGTAGTCAAAAGAAGCTGCATGCACAACATAAGCAAGGTCGTTGAAACCTTTATCTAACAGCTTACGGTAAATTCGTTGAGACTACTCTCAAAACCTATTCAGATATTGAATATCTCCACTTGGGTTTAGTGAACATTCCCACCTCGCAATCCTCTGGTTGATCAGATCAGCAACAAGTGGCTTTGGGATAAGATGATCTTTGGAATGATACGAAGGCGCAAAAAGTGAGGGTAGTCGATCTGACTTAACCGTGCCACTTTTGTGCATGTTCTCTGGTAGAGGATATTCACTAATCATCGACATATGAAGTTCACGTTCATAGATTATTCTCAAATGATTGCAGGGTCTAGTCACGGGCTCAAGAAATTTGAGTGATAATGTTGACAACTCATTGGTTCTATAGTTCTTTACCACAATAGTTGGAAAACACAAAACTTTGTCTTTTAGAGTTGGATCCTCTGATTCTACAATCCACTCATCGGAAGGTAAGTTCTTTCTTTGACTTAAAATTTTGATAATTTTTCCCGATTTGGCTTTTTGAGATGAGGCCATCTGAATAATAATAATAATAATAATAAGGAAAAAAAAAGAAGAAGACAAAAAAAGAAAAAAAGAAAAAAAGGGCAAGTAATAATTTGGAAAAAAAATATATTAATAAAATAAACCTCGATGCTATAAATAAAGTGGGAATAAAATAATAATAATAGTAGCAATACAAGAATACTAGCAATACAAGAATAGATAAGTCACCTAGGATTGTTACAGAAGTCACCTAGGGCTATTACAGAAGTCACCTAAGGCTGTTACAGAAGTTACATTGGACTTTTACAGAAGTTACCTAGGACTGTTACAAAAGTCACCTAAGGTTGTTATAAAAGTCACTTAGGGCTGTTACAAAAGTCACCAAAGGGCTGTTACATAAATCACCTAGAGTTGTCACAACAGTCACCTATAGTTGTTGCAGAAGTCACCTTGAGCTGTTACAAAAGTCACCAAAGGACTATTACAGAAGTCACATTGGACTGTTACAAAAGTCACCTAAGGCTGTTATAGAAGTCACCTTGAGCTATTATAGAAGTCACCAAATGACTATTATAGAAGTCACATTAGACTGTTATAAAAGTCACTGAAGGTTGTTATAGAAGTTACCAAAGGGCTGTTATAGAAGCCACCTTAGGGCTGTTATAGAAGTCACTTGGAGTCATTACGGAAGTTATTTAGGGATGCTACAAAAGTCGCCTAAGACTGCCAGAGAAGTCATTTAAGTTGACACAAAAATCACTTAAGGTGGTCAATAATAATAATCATAAATAAAATAAAACTCTTGTAATCAAAGCCACCTATAATTGACACAAAAGTTGTAAACTCTCATTTAAAATAAAATTCTTTAGAAAAACCAATTAAAATTAAAATTAATACTCTTGGAATAAAATTAACCCAAAAAAAAAAATCCCATGGAACAAGATTTATTTATTTCTTGAAGAAAAAAAAAGGTCAAGTTTGTTAAAAAAAAATCACCTAAAATCAAGTCAGTAAGATAAAATTCTAAAGTCAAAAGGTTACCTAGCATAAATTTTTGGGATGAAGATGTTCAAGACTAACATTTTTGAAGAAAAAAAAAATTATTATCCTAACAAGTTATCAAGAAATCATAAAAACACACACACAAGTTATGTTTTATTCAAAAAAAAAAAAATTAGGAAACAATTCATGATCAAGAATAAGATAATTAAATATAATATATATATATATACACACACACAAGTATAAGTGCACACACACAAATCAAACATTTTTATTAAATTGAATTGAGTTGACCTATGTGAAAAACTGCCAAGATCTATATATAAAAAAAAAGTCATAACAAATTCTACAAAAAGTCATTAGGGAACAATGTGGTTTTGATGTCATCAATGTCAAATTTACAAAGCAACAATTATAATCAAATAAATAAAAAGATAGGGTATAAACGATCTAAAAAAAATCTACCATGGAAAAATACCACAAGTTCTAAAAAATGCTATACAATAAACAATAAAAAGATGAATATTTTGCACAAAAAAAATAGGAATGGCCTACTAATTGTGTTCATCAAATTTTCGGTGGAACTATATAACTTAATCAATTGGGTCAATCAACTAAGAAAGAGAAAATTTAATTTTTATTAAGAAAAATACATTATTAATTGTAATGTTAAAACAAACTAACAAAGGCAGACATACCTAATAGACTTGAATCAAATCTTATATCAAGTTGATTGCGTAAGGTTAGTTATAAATTAAAATATCAATATGATCAAATAAATATAGGTTTTATAGGTTATAATTGTGTTTAAAAATATTTTTCACCAACTAAACATTAAAAGCTTATTTAGATTATAGAATATATCTATATTTTAGGTCTATGTGTTTAAGTAGAACAAAAGAATTATTATGTATCTCAACCCATAAAAATTAGAATTCCATGTTGTTCATGGTTAAGAATAATAATATGCTAAAAAAAATAATTAAAAAAAATCCAAATTAAATAAAGTTCTATCATAAATTTTTGAATATACATGAATTTTTGAATACAATAATAAAAAGATACTCTAGTTTTATATTCATATCAATATAACCCACTAAAAAATTGTTGTTTTGATTTTTAGCCAAATTAAATTGACAAAGACTAGCACTTTGATTCTTATTAGTCAGACTTAAGAACCAAATATACAATGATATGTATGACTAAGATAATTGGGCATTAAACCTAAATAATAGGATCATTATGATATAAAACATCTCGTGTATACCTCATGCAAAAAAAATGACAAATTACATACACCTAAACTTATTGTTAAGAATAAGACAAAAGATATTAAAAAAAAAGAATGAAAACTGTGATGATCAATACTAATCATGAAGGCAATAAAAAAATAGATTAACATGTTTTTTTTAATCTAGAAGAACATTTAAACTAATAATGATAATACTACAATATTAGAAAGTTTGAAATCAACAAAGTTACATGTCTAAGAAATCATTATGCTAACAAAACTAAACACCATAACAATCAAAACCAATATATATATAATTAAACAACGAAAGAGTTATACCTTACAAACTTGATTCAAGGTCCAAATTTGTAGACTAGCCGGTTGATCATAAAATTTCGAGTACATATAGCCTCATATATATGGACATTCTAGTTTTATGTATTTAAGTTAAAATAAGAATTTGTTATCCTAATCATAGATGGATTAAAAGTCTATATTTTAAGACTCTGTATTTGAATAAAAGATATTTTTACATTAATCATAGATAAGTTGAAAGTTTTTATGACCAAAATGTTCAAATAAAATAGGATTGTGAAGTCTGTATGGTTTAGGATTCTATATCTTGTTTAAAGTTCAATATGGACTATAATTCCAATTAATATATATATATCTGTGTGTGTGTGTGTGTGTAAAATTAAATTAAATCAAAATCCTTTTAAATCAAAATATAAATCGAGACCCATTTATATATTGATAAAATATTAAATATGCAAATAAGTCTCGGGGGGACATTTGTAGACATTAAAAAATTAGTAATTGAAAGTCTATAATTGAACTCAAATTGGATTGAACCTAAATAATACAAGTCCAAATTTAATTAATAAGGCTTGTCAAATTAAATTAAAATGGACCTAAATTCCATAACCTAAATAATACAAGCCCAAATACAATTAATCAGGATTTTAAATTAAAATAGACTTAAATTTCATAGACCCAAATTAAATAAACTTTCAA